TCGTTTTCTTATTTTATTAGTAGAGACGGGGTCTCACTCTTGCTCAGGCTAGTTTCGAATCCTTGACCTTGAGCGATCCTCCCGCCTAGGCCTCCAAGAATGCTAGGATTACAGGCATGAGCCTTAGTCACAGATTTTTATGAGAAATGTAATTAAAAACCCTTCGATCCTAGTTTCCAGTGGATTTTTATCTACTTGATAAAAATTTTCTTACATTGACATGCTGAAGAATACTTCCATGCAAAAATGACATCCTAGTCTCTGAAGTTCAAATGGAAATAGATGTTACACTTCTCATTGTGTATCCATAGTTCCTTAATACTTACTTTCTTTTTTTCCCCTCACTGTAGCCAGTGACCCTTGGAAAGCATGTTCATTCGAGTTATTTTAACTTTCAGGAACTGGTTTCCCAAGAAACGTGAACAGTAAAATCTTTAGTTGTTTCATAATACGTGATTAACATGAGTTTGTAGTTAATAAACTATTAACTGTCTTTTTCAAATGCAAATAATGAAAATTTACTAGCCTTAATTGTGGTCACTGAAGTCTAGCATGGGAATTAATTGGCCAACTAAAAATATATTTAAAAAATTAGCTAGGCATGGTGGCACATGCCTGTAGTCCCAGCTACTCGGGAGGCTGAGGAAGGAGGATCGCTTGAGTCCAGGAGTTGGAGGTTGCTGTGAGCTAGGCTGACGCCACGGCACTCTGGCTCGGGCAACAGAGTGAGACTCTGTCTCAAACAATAAATAAATAAATCAGTGACTGTAATCTAAGAAAACACACAGACAAGATTCAAATGCACCCCAGCTTTCCCCCATCTCCCCCTCTCCCACGCCAACCCACCCCTTAGGTGCTGTGGGTTAGCCCGTCCACACCGCCTCCCATGCTCAGTTTATGTACGAGTGGAACACCCCTCAGTATTTGCTCAACGGTGGCATTTCTTTTACAACCATTTCTTAGTGAGCTTAGCAGCATTTCATAAATTTACTCGCTATTTGGACTTTCTCCTGGATCCGACTTGCTACTATATTAGGAATTTCTGTTCTATATTCCTGACATGGAAACTCATTTCTGATAACGTTAAAAATAGCATGAACTACTATGCCATAAAGAGAAATACGGCATTGCTCATATCTGTTTTTGTGTTTATATCCTCATGTAAAGATTACTGATTAAATATAAGTGAGATATTAAGTAAGATATTATTGCCTATGTCGAAATCATTTAAGATATTTAAACTAGATGTGCACACAGTAGCTCATGCCTGTAATTCCTAGCACGCTAGGAGGCCGAGGTGGGAGGATCATCACTTGCGGCCAGGAGTTCAAGACCAGCCTGAGCAAGACAGTGAGACTTTGTCTCTATGAAAAATAGAAAAATTAGCTGGGCATGTTAGCACATGCCTGTAGCCCCAGCTACTAAGGAGGCTAAGGCAGAAGGATTGCTCAAGCCTGGGAGTTTGAGGTTGCAGTGAGCTATGATGATACCACTATACTCCAGCCTGGGCAACAGAATGAGACACTGTCTCAAAAAATAAAAATAAAATAAAATACTCAAACTATGTTTTAAGTCGTATAGCATTAGTTATACAAGGGTCCCCAGTGTATTGCAAAGGATAAAAAATATACTACATAAAATATATTTCTGAATATTAAAATGCTAACTACTGAACATTAACAATTGTGCTTGCCATCTTAGAATTTAGAAAGGTTGTTGTGTGATGATTTCAGGGCCAAAAATTCTTTAAAAAGCATCCAAGAAAATATGAATTGATATTTTTTTCCTTGTAAGTTTCTCAGTAGTAACAATGGAAATCTCAAATCTTCCGTAGTTTTTACAGCAACCACAAGAAGCTAAAGACAAATAAATTTTATTGTTTACTAGAATGATGGGCCATAATCACAAGTCACTAAACTATGGACTATGTAGGGGAAAAAGCAGTAGTCATTCCTGTTGTTAACGAATGACTACAGGCATGGGCCACCATGCCTGGCTAATTTTTTCTATATATATTAGTTGGCCAATTAATTTCTTTCTATTTATAGTAGAGGTGGGGTCTCGCTCTTGCTCAGGCTGGTTTCGAACTCCTGACCTTGAGCCTCCCTCCTCGGCCTCCCAGAGTGCTAGGATAACAGGTGTGAGCCACCGTGCCAGGCCTTAAGGCTCTTTTTAATAAGGTCTGAGATTAGAGTCATATGGACAGAAGATTGGAGACTACAAATTTGTTCAAAGAGATAAACCACCCTACTGTAGAGTACTAATTATCACTTAAAATCAAGATCTTGTTATACTGTAGAAAAATAGAAGAAGACCAGAGGGCAAGAACTGGTGAATAAGCCACAGAATCAAAATACTTTTGAAATGTGAGCACCATGCTAGACTTCAGTGACCACAATTAAGGCTAGTAAATTTTTCATTATTTGCATTTGAAAAAGACAGTTAATAGTTTATTAACTACAAACCCATGTTAATCACATATTATGAAACAACTAAAGATTTTACTGTTCACGTTACTTGGGAAACCAGTTCCTGAAAGTTAAAATAACCTCGAATGAACATGCTTTCCAAGGGTCACTGGCTACAGTGAGGGGAAAAAAAGAAAGTAAGTATTAAGGAACTATGGATACACAATGAGAAGTGTAACATCTATTTCCATTTGAACTTCAGAGACTAGTATGTCATTTTGCATGGAAGTATTCTTCAGCATGTCAATTAAGAAAATTTTTATCAAGTAGATAAAAATCCACTGGAAACTAGGATCGAAGGGTTTTTAATTACATTTCTCATAAAAATCTGTGACTAAGGCTCATGCCTGTAATCCTAGCATTCTTGGAGGCCTAGGCGGGAGGATCGCTCAAGGTCAGGAGTTCGAAACTAGCCTGAGCAAGAGTGAGACCCCGTCTCTACTATAAATAGAAATGAATTAATTGGCCAACTAAAAATATATTTAAAAAATTAGCTAGGCATGGTGGCACATGCCTGTAGTCCCAGCTACTCGGGAGGCTGAGGAAGGAGGATCGCTTGAGTCCAGGAGTTGGAGGTTGCTGTGAGCTAGGCTGACGCTTCTATCTGAAAATTGGAAAAATTTAGGCTGGGCATGTTCAGCAGATGCGGCACTGTAGCCCCAGCTACTAAGGAGGCTAAGGCAAGAAGGTTGCTCAAGCCTGGGAGGTTTTTTTGGAGGTTGGCAGTGAGCTATGTGTAACCACCTATTTTACTCCAGCTGGACAAAACGAATTTGAGGAACATGTCTCAACATAAAAATTTAAAAATAAAAAACTCAAAACTAGTTTTAAGTGAGTATTAGCCATTAAATTATTACAAGTCCCCAGGTGTATTTGCAAGGGAAAAAAAAAATATTAATAATAAAGTAGTATTTTGAATTTTTAAAATGCTAAACTAATGACATTAACAATGTTGTTGGCCATCTTAGAATTAGAAGGTTGTTGTTTTGTGTTGATTTTTCAGGGCCAAAAAACATTCTTAAAAGCATCCAGAAATTGAATTTGATATTTTTTCCATGTAGTTCTCCAGTGTAACATGGAAATTCTCAAATCTTTCCGTTAATTTTTACAGCAAAACAAAAGAAGGGTAAGCAAATTTATTGTTTACATAAGATAATGTGGGGCTTAATCCACGTCCCCATAAAAATATTTGGACTTTATGTTAGGGGAAAAAAAGCAGTAGTCATTTTCCTGTTGGTTAAACGTAATATTATTATTTCAGAAGCTAGAAAGATACTATTTACAACCAGGGGACGGATTTTCCTAAATTGAGTAACATTTTAATGGGAAGCAATCTTGTATTTCTTTTCTATCTTTTTTGTATATTTCTATTAACTATTCAAAATTTTGGCTTAGGTTAAAAAAATAAGTGTACGAAAGACATTTGCTTTTTTCATATGTCAGACTTAAAATTACTCATCTGGGAGATTTTAAAGTAATTACTTTAACTTCTGTAAACAGAGTTTTCTAAGAGATTAAAAAAAACGTTCTCACAGGATGGTTAAACAATAAAAGGGGAATAAGTTATGTTCCTGACTATGCTTACAATTTATGGACTTGGCTAGGATTTCAGATATTCATGGAAAACCCCAAGTAAATTAAAAGAAGTTGGGAAATTGAGGTCTAAGCGTTCCTTAAAGAGACTGTAAGGAATTGAGCAGAAAGTAATAAAAGGTGCAAGAGACTTAATGACAACTCTATGACAAAAATGGTGGCTCTAAGACTATCCATATCTATTATATTAAATTAGTAACGAAGCATCCTAAAACATTAATCAAAATAAATGTTTCATAAAACTTACTTTGATTGGAGCAAGAACCCCAAATGACTCGCATC